TGATATCACCTGAATTTTTGTCTTCGCTCTTCTACTCAATGCGATTTACGTCCTCCCTCTTCTCTTCTCTCCGGCAGAGCAGAACCATCTATCTGTCTCATCTTTCCCCATTTTAAAACCACTCCTCTTCCACTTCACTCTTCAAATCATTTTCCGACACTTTCTCGGGAAAATCAGAGTCCTCGTTCTTTCATACTTCCACTTTCCGCAGATTTCGGTTCTCCAGAACCTTACCTTACCAGTTCCGTTTTGAAATTGGACGCCCCGCCTCCGTACGTTTCTCAAGTTTGTTTAGGGTTAAGAATCAGAGCTAGTATATATTCCTATTAGCTTCACTGTTGTCCGGTGGTTTTTTCTGGCCTTGCTTTTGTTAGACACAACTTCTGCTTCAGTCTAGGTAAGACGCTGTAACTATTTTCTCGTCTACTGTTCGGTTGCCGAGAATATTTCGTGATATCGGAGTAATATTGCTCTGAAAATTTCCAATCTGTCTTCTGTAATCGGTTTTTCTACTAGTTAATTCATTGGTTTCGGTCGATTGCCTCTTTTTTCGTTGCTGAATGATTTTCGCATATTGTATCATGATTTTATTGTTGATCCAGAAATTTTCATGTTTGCCGAAAAAATTTTCTCTGCAACCAAACACGCAAATAATTTCAATTTCTAGTGATTCATTTATTTCTCTCTCTTCTTTACAAAAGATTGATCTTAGTTTTTATGTTCTTACAGAGTCTTGAAGTGTAGGAAGTGGAGGAATATTTCTTTATATGCTGAACGATGATTAGAGTTGCGGATTCTGTGAATGAACCTCTGAGGAACTCTGAAAAATGCTTGGATCCTCAACTATGGCATGCTTGTGCCGGTGGCATGGTCCAGATGCCAGCAGTACACTCCAAGGTGTACTATTTCCCTCAGGGCCATGCTGAACATGCTAATGGTAATGTTGATTTTCGGAAATTTTTGATTCCTCCACTAGTCTTATGCCGGGTTTCTGGTATTAAGTATATGGCAGCTCAGGAAACCGATGAGGTTTATGCAAAAATGTTGTTAGTTCCTTTGAGAGAGAATGAGTATAAGGATGATGATTTTAATGGAAACAATGGGATTGAGAATAATGAGAAGAAACCCGCATCCTTTGCTAAGACTTTAACACAGTCTGATGCTAATAATGGTGGGGGTTTCTCTGTCCCACGGTATTGTGCTGAAACTATATTCCCTAGACTGGATTATACCGCAGACCCTCCTGTTCAGAATATTTTGGCAACGGATGTCCATGGAAATGTTTGGAAGTTTAGGCATATTTATAGGGGAACGCCTCGTCGGCATCTTTTGACAACTGGGTGGGGTAACTTTGTGAATCAAAAGAAACTTGTAGCTGGTGATTCAATTGTGTTTCTGAGAGCAGAGAATGGGGATCTTCGTGTGGGCATTCGTCGGGCAAAGAAAGGAATTGGTAGTGGACATGAGTATTTGCCAGGATGGAATTTAGGGGGTGGAAACTCTGGCTCCCGGTTTTGGGGATGTTCTCCCTTTCTGAAGGAGGAGGAGAGAACATTGATGAGGAGGAATTCTGATGGGTATATGAGTGGCAGAGTAAGGATTGATTCTGTTATTGAAGCTGCAACTCTTGCTGCCAATGGGCAGCCCTTTGAGGTTATTTACTATCCACGAGCAAGCACTCCAGAGTTTTGTGTGAAGGCCTCATCAGTTAGAGCTGCAATGCAAATCCAGTGGTGTCCTGGGATGAGGTTCAAAATGGCTTTTGAAACTGAGGACTCATCACGGATTAGCTGGTTCATGGGAACAATATCTTCTGTTCAGGTTGTTGATCCCATTCATTGGCCTACTTCTCTGTGGCGTCTTCTCCAGGTATTTTAGCTACCCTGATTTTCAATTTTCTGACCTTTTCATTGTTAGCAACTTTCAATACTTTGTCCTTCATTTCTTTCAATTTTATTCTTTTTACTGCTTCACATTTTGCTACTTCAATGCTACCTTAATCCATGGTTCGCATTTATGAATCTGCCTATGGTTATAAAGATCTAAAATTAGTTAGATTATTTCCAAATATTTCTTCCTTTCATTTTCCTCCAATTACTGGATATTTAAGAATAGATATTGGATTATGGTAAAACTTAGAGACCACCCTCTTCTTTCAGATGAACAAATAGATGCTAAGCACATTTTAGTTGTCCAAATTACAAAAATATAGACATGGTTCACATCTAGAACTAATATCAAGCATTCTTGTTAAGAGAAGCAAAAAATTAACCCATGTTTATACTTCTCTAATGCTGTGTTAATGTCTTTCAGGTACAATGGGATGAGCCAGATTTGCTTCAAAATGTGAAGTGCGTTAGTCCTTGGTTGGTTGAATTGGTATCAGACATACCACCTGTTCATCTCAATTCTTTCTCACCACCAAGGAAAAAGATGAGGCTTCCACAACAACCAGACTTTTTATTCAACGAATTTCTGGTGTCATCATTTTCTAGCAACCCTCTTGGATCAAATAGCCCCTTATCTTGTGTTACAGACAACGTTCCTGCAGGCATACAGGGAGCCAGGCATGCACAATTTGGATTGTCTTCAGCAGATCTCCACATCAACAAGCTGCAGGAAGGTCTTTATTCAGTTGGTTTTCAGCAGCTTGATCGTGCTGCCCCACATTCTAGAAACTTGACTAAGAACCTTTTCTGTGAGAAGCAAAACAGTGGTAATACTTCTCACTTGTTGAGAATTGGAAATCCCCCTCTGAGTTCGGAGGGAAAAAATGCAATAAAGACACCTCATATCTTATTGTTTGGTAAGGTCATAGTCACTGAGCAGCAGTCTTCTCAAAGCTGCTCGGGTGATACAGTTGGAAACAGTTTGTCAGAGGGAAATACAGAGAAGACTGGTGTTTCTTCTGATGGCTTTGGTTCTGCTCTACCTAAGAATCCTCTAGAAAATTCATCAGATGAAAGATCTCCTTGGTACAAAGAACACAAAAAAACTGATCTTGACTTGGAGACTGGTCATTGCAAAGTTTTTATGGAATCAGAAGATGTTGGTCGAACGCTTGATATTTCAGTCCTTGGGTCGTATGCAGAGCTGTATCAGAAGCTAGCCAACATGTTTGGAATAGAAAATTCAGAGATGTTGAGTGGCGTGCTCTATCTGGATACGACGGGTTCTGTTAAACATGCTGGAGATGAACCCTTCAGGTAGACTAGTAGTTCTTTATTGATGTTTACTTTAACGAATCCTTTTATTTTCAATTTATTGAATATCAACTCAATTAAAATTTGTTGTTCCTAATTGTCTGTCTGCTTTGTGTTGCAGTGAGTTTCTGAAGACAGCAAGGAGGCTAACTATTCTTACAGATTATGGCAGTGACAACATAGGAAGGTAGAGGTTGTGGTGTTGGATTCTGGCGGTGCCAACGTTTGAGGCTTGATATCAAGGAGTTTTCTCTAATTGTACAATCTTCAAATGCTTGCTTTTTTAATTCTTTATTTTCTTCTTTTCGGAGAGTTGAAGAAGCTCACTTCAACCAATTTTGGGATATATCATATAAACCATGTTTGGTAGCTTATCTTGGAATTCTTTTGTGAAACATGAGAAAGGATTGTAATTTTCTCAAAAGCTAGGAATTCATTTTTAGTTTCTTGCTTCATTTCTGAACTGCCTAGATTTTGTTTGCTTGAACAAGATACTCAACATTATTTATGATTTTCTTTCACTTCAAGAAAAAGGAGAAGATATTTCCACTTCAAACTGGAAAGCACATTTTTTATAAAACTGAATGGGAGAGAAAATGAAATGAAGAGAACCTTAATTAACTGCAATACATGTTTTTTAAAACCTAATTGATACTTTCTTAACATGTCCAGATTGAAAATACTTAATTCTCTCAAGAAAATAAAAATAAACTAAACAAAGAATGATACAGTAAGGCAAGCAATTCATTTCCTAAAAAAAAAAAGGAATGATAAGCAATTTGTAGGGACAATCAAAGGGTCCGACCAATATTTGAGTTGATATCAAGTTAATATTTTTGGTACATCTGTTGTTGTTTTTTGGTTGGAAAATTCATTTCATGACCCCACCTATGTTCTAATACTACTACACTAGTGGTGAAGATGCACTTCATTTTCCTTAGCCTCGGGTTTGAAATGGCAAAATGGGCAAATCAACCCCAGTACTCAGCATATATCTAGATATACAAGTTGCATCTAATCCATTTTTAAGCTTGCCATGTTTATAAAACAGAGTGGTACTAAATGTGTGTACAATGCATACAAAATTTTTAGCCAAATTAATAAATCCAGATATACGATTTATGTTCTTTTCTGATCCATAACATTCACCATCTTGTAAACTACTCCAAATCCTTGTTTTCCGCTTGTATTTTTGTTGTACAAGTTATTAGTTGCCACTTGAACAGTGACCAATACTCAGCTTTGATCGACAAAAGACACAGTACTTTAAAATTGCTATCAAATCCCTTTCTCAAATTCCTTCCCTTCCACCCAAGGTTACTTGATAACTTGAAATAACGTGATACGACACCAAACTGGTATGCTGACTTGGCAGCAACCAGAGATGTCTGTTGGTTTTTTTTTTTTTTTTTTTACATTTGATTA